GGCACATTAGCTTGTACTACATTTCTAGGCCTTGTTTTTTAACTCAAATATTAAATATTCTATTACAAGCACAGTAAGAAAAGTGGACTTTTATGGAGAGTGAAGGTATCTCCTCTGAAAAGTCTCATCTATTTGCTGAGAAATTTTCACTGTCTTCCACTAGCAGGACACCCACGCTGAGAAATATGAAGCAGAAAGCTTTTGTTCAGAGAGAATTGGAAGAAAAAGGAAGAGAAATCAGCGAAGCTTTTCATGTGAAGCTTTCCCTGAGGAAACGTTTCATTGTATGATACAGTCATACACAAGGATGTCAAAGGCAAGAAAAAAAGATCTTGGCTTGAAAGAGCAAACTTAAACTTTGGGTAGGACTCAGCTTATACTGGACTTGCACAATAGAGGGGAAAAAATACTCTTTAAATAGAAGAAACTCTGAAGAGGAAACCCCATTGCTGAGGTCAGGTGAAGCACTATCAAGGTCTACGTTTGAAAAAGTTTTGCAAACATAACTACTTGGCTAGGAGCATAGAAAAAACAACATACCCATAACTATTTTGGCAAAAGTCATAGTGTAGGTGCAGTCATACAAACGCAAGCAAGATGCCCCGCTGGAGTGCCGGTCCTCAGGACTAGCTAAACCTCTGCAGGGAACCGAGAGAGCAATTAAAACAATTCAAGGGTAAGGATGCTGTGTGAGCACAAAGCAGAGCACGAGAAACACGTAGCTTTGTTGCTCTGGTATGCAGGCTCTTCCTCCGATATGAAACTACTTGCATTAATTGGAGATAGGTAGAGGAATGAAGGCTAAGGTAGAATAATTTACTGTAGTAAGCGTATGAAATCACAAGAAAAACGCATTTCCAGTATGAACCAGATAATTGTAAGGGAGTTTTGGGATGTAGCCTTAGGAAGCTGCCTATACCTCAGCAACTATATCAGTAATACCCTGTTAAGGCCAACATTGCCTGATGAAAGGTGTTGGAAACAACAAATTTGAGCACAGATGTAGCAGAATTGACACCAGCAAGGAGGAAGGAAAAAAAAAAACCACACCAAAAAAAAGATTATGTGAATTCTTGTTTGCAAAGGGTTAGGGTAAAGAAAGGGAGGTGGCAAAGGCAGGAAAAAAAAGGATGAGTTGTGCAACAGAAAAAAGGGGAATAAGACATAAAATTCTGTAAAGGAAAAAAAGAGTGGGGTCTTCTGACAGTAGGAGTACAGGCACCTACAAACAGCACTGGAGCTACCTGTGCACCCAAGCCCACCAGGACACTGAAGGTAACCTCTGTGGATAACCCACATGACTCTCCATCAGGTTCGTGCCTGAAAGACTCAGTGGAGTGAGTAAAGAGCGACAAACTCGCACTCTGGCACAAAGTCATGTCAGGTGGGAAGGGTGGCAGAGTTATAATAAAATAGTTGGGTATGATTTATAAGATCTGAGAATCAGGAATAGTTTTATGCTTGGTTGTAACTGTGCAAAATGATGCAATTGTAAATTAATGGTAACCGTACCTATTAATAGTATATCTATAATTAGGCTACTAAATAGTATGTTGTTTGATCAATAGATGTTACTGTCTATTAAATCAGTTTGACTCCATATTGACTGCAATCTAAAAGGGGAGGATTGGACTCTAAAGTAACAAGGAACAACAACACCACACACCAAAAAACCTCTTTATTGCTATCCTTCCTCCAAGAAGCTGGTACTGGCTATTGGTATGAGAGGCTAGTGGTATAAACTACTTGGGGGAGGTGGGTGGTGATTTGCTGATACAGTTATATCAGCAGTCTTGTATCAGCCAACCCAAGAAGTTACAGACATTGATGTAACATCTATCTGCTGACTAGTCTGCTATCTTTGTATCTTTTACTCTTCCCAATTACATTACAGATATAGCAACCTTCTTGATAAGGAACAAGAGGCTTTTCCACTCTTCAATGCTGCAAAAGCATCCAAACCAGGTGAAGAGTGCTTCAGCTTATGAAGTCACCACCCCTCTTTAAGTAAAGAGCTTTCTTTACAGGCATTTTTGTGCTGCTTATCTCCACGGTCAAAGCCTTCAATCAAACAGATAAAGAAACACTCTTGTTGGCCAGCTAAGCAACCTGCCAAAACAGAATTCCCACTGCCAGCACTGATACCACTTCGTTTAGATGCAGTTTCTCATCCCACAGGCTTCGGCTGTTTGAAGGGAAAGCAGTTCTCGGAACAGATGGAGCTGGTAATAAAGCTCTTTCTAGGAGATACAAGGATTACACAGGGAATGAAATGGTGAAACAGTGTCTGGAGAACACATTGTAAACGTGAAACACTCAAAGTAAAATTCCCTTCCCACTGAGAACAACATGGTGGTGAAAAGTGGAAGTGACAGTGCAGCTTTCCAAAACATTAGCTATCGTGGCTGTTTCCCCTCAGAACATTGGCTACCCAAAAACAACTCGAGACACACGTTCCAACCTCACACCACAAAAAAAAAACCCACACACACACGAATCTTGTGACTTGTCATTTTGAGCCAGTGTCAGGAGCACTGCCAAAAAAAGGGATGAAGTAGCTGTCTCAAAAAGAGCAAGAGGGCATCTATGCACCAGGTGGGGAAATGGTGCAGGCACTCGCCTGTGTACAGCAGAGCTCCTAAGCTCATCTACAAAATCAAATTTGGTTTCTGCTAGGTCTGCCTCAACCATTCTGCTTCCAGTGAAGCAGGAAGACTTGTATCCCGCAAGTCCAGTGTTGTTCCACTTTCCTGAGCTGTCTGCTTGTGCATAGACTGAAATCACTGCAAGGCAAAGCCCAGACTCCTGGATATTTGCAGAGCAGCTACCTCAGGGATTCTGCAAAGACAAAAGACTGCTTTGAGTCAGCAATTCAAAAGCCACGAGTGCCAGCAGCACTGTTCCAACAGGATAAGGTCGGCAGAGAGTAGGAGAGGAAAGGGGAGGTAAAGAACAAGCCCAGTGTCCAGGTAAACTGTCCTAGTCCAAACCAAGGCTCTGTTTAACCCCATAACCTGTTCCCAGCAGCGCAGACAAGCAGGCATGCAGAGAAGAGTGAGAGCAGGGCAAGCATATATGGTATTTCTCCCACATATTTTCCCAGCTTCCAATAATTTTCATCTCAGGAGAGGTCCTGAACCTGATTTAGTTTATTTAGTGATCCCCAGTGGGTCTCTCTTTGAAGCATTTGTGCTATCATTTGATTTTCTTTGTTCATTGTTATTAAGCATTAAGCTGATGTTTTAAATTAGGGATCATGATGATGTCATTCCTAAAAAAAATAGTAAAATCTAGAGGTTATTTTCTCACAATCCTAATCTTGAGTACTTTGCAATTTGTAATAAATTGCTATATCCAATTTGCACTCTTTGTAGACCTCAGTGGGAAGGGACTTTTACGTGATTGTAGTTTAAATGTATTACAGCAACCCTAGACATTGTCTCTCCTTACCATTCCCTCTGCAATTGCGCTTGCTTTCATCAACTACCAGCGGGGTACAACCAGACAGCTCTGTAACCCAAGTCTCTTTACATGACTCGTATGTGATCCATGCCTAAGGACAGCTGCCTGGATTCTCACCCTGGCCCTGGACATAAAATTTACCGTTATGATAGTATCCAAAACCACGAAAGCAGGCCTCAGCCTCGTTATTCAAAGCAAGATCTCCTGGATTGCATCAAATTGGCTTTTAAACTTAATACATCATAGTTGAAATTTTGGCCCCCTCCTTAAACTATGGGATTACTTTTATTACCTTTGTTCAGGCCAGGATTTTGCCTGAGGAACAGCTCTACTGTTTAGCATTATTTCATAACTATCTTGCTAGATGCTCTCCTGTTTGCTAAAGTATGTAGGCTTTCCCCTCTTCAACTTCATTCAGTGGGCAGAGCAAACGATACTCTCAGCCTCCAGAGCAAGAAAGACTGAGATGACCCAAAGTGATCTTTTATCCAACTCTGTCATGCTACAGAGCCAATTTCTCCTTGTCTCCAGCTCAGAGGAGACTATTGCAGATGTTTGCTTTAGGGTTCAATTTAGCTTGTAGCTTTCTTCCGGTTGGTGCTCTGTCCAGGAAAGACCTTTTTTGGCAACTGCAGTTTGAAATTCTGTTTCAATCCTGGATCTTAAACTGCATTGGAGAAGTTTACTAGAGATGCAGCAACTCTCCCTCCTTTCCTTACTGATCATTCCCTGCTATCTGCAGCAGCCACTAATTTTTGCATAAAGCACAGCTTTAAAAAACCTAGTGCAGACAACCACTGCACAGTGTCACTAGTGGGAAGTTAACTAACTGGGATGTCAGAAGGAAAAAAATTAAGTCTAGGTTTACCTGATTGGGAATACTGTGAAATAGTACGTTCCTAAGAACCATTAAATAAGATGAACATAAACACAGTATTTAGCATAGTCAAGCAGATAAGATTCATTCCTAAAAGTTTCAAGGCTTATTTGGTGTCAGCTTCAGACACACCTCCCTTCCCTCTAGCAGACAGATTTGTTATTAAGAAGAACACCGAAACCAAACTGCCTGCCTTGCAAAATTTGGTCTGACTTCGCGTGATTAAGACGGAGCGATTCAGATCACCACGTTTTGTGACCAGAAGGGCTGAATAAACCCGTCTGAAGCCTTGACCTAAAAGCTTTGACTTCAAGAGAAGAAACTGGCAGCGAGAGCAAAAACTAAACAGTTTGCTGCACTGTTCGGGCATGCACCGAGGCAGGGCTATGCCGTGCAGCGAGTAGGTGCCATTAGCTCATCTGTCATTAGTTTAAACCAGCACGAAGCAGAAGTCTAAAGCACACGGAAACTGCACCCTCTAATTCTGATTAGCCTCTTGTTTATACCACATTGTGGTAAGCTCAGGCTGCATTGGCTCACTTAACCCTTCTGCAGGCATGAATGTAGTAACTCCCATCTCCCTTGGAGAAGGGAAGGAACACCTCCCTCCCCAGAGGGTTAGCAACAGAGAGAAGTAATCCTGCAAACTACCACCACCGCCATGAAGACATCAGCTGTTCCTGTTCTCATCTTAGTCCTGCTTTACATCAATGCCAGCACAGAATGGCCTACGCACACGGTCTGCAAAGAGGACAACTTGGAAATATATTACAAAAGCTGTGGTGAGATTTTATTTTTTTTTTAATTTCCATTTTCCTTTTAGCCAGGCAACAAAGTTGTTCTTATGCAGTGAGAGAGGCTTATAAGCCAGGCAGTGAATGGAAGGGTAACATTCCCAACCAGCACTGGGTTTCACAGCTAGAATATTTTTAGTCTTTCAAATATAGCTGGTTTGGTTGACACACACACATAAATCTAACTATTTAGATAGAAGATAAAGAGGAAATAATGTAACCTAATTCAGAATAATAAACTGTTCTCAAAAATCCAGTTCAGCATTAAAGAGATGACTTCGGATTTTTATCTTGAAGTTAGGTTAATTAAAAAAAAAAAGAGGAAGGCCCTAGATATTTATCTCTTTTACCCCTGGGACGACAGACTCTTCAATGCACTGATCTGCTCTTTTCCTAATGTGCAGCAAGGTTGTGGTGATGTGCTTTCTGTCCTCCCACTTGGAGTGACAAGGGACCCAGCGTGACAGCAGGAAGGATTCCTGTTCACTGCCACTGCACTTAAGGGCTGCTGCTAAACTCTCCCTAACAGAGGCATTTTCCAGGGACCATAGGGGTTGGTTTGTTCTTTAAATCCATCGTGAAGAAAAGGAGCAAGTGGCACTGGAATGACTGAAAATGAATTCACTGAATGGTGCCTGCTTTCCACCTCTTGCTTTGCTGGCCTTGTGCCTCTCCTATTGTGCTGATCTGCTTTACAACTGGGACAAAGGGAATTAGATTCACAGACGCCTCATTCATTTTCCGCACGTGATGTGGAAAGCGATTCATGGCAAACGAGCACCCTAGAGTTTGTTTTTCCAATTCATCCTGATACAAAGGATTTCCCAGGGGGCTTTTTCTCCCCTGTAGCTTTCATGCTGTTTTGCACACCCATTAAAATAAAGCCAGTGAGGGACAAGAGAAGTAAATAAATATTTGTAATGCTATTCTTTACTGGCCTGCTCCCAGGAGACTAAAGTCAGGCTTCACATATTATAAATGGATACAGTGTATTAGGAAAACATTTAATTAGATATTGAATAAAAACTTTGGCATTGTTTTTATTTTAGTAAGAATTTGTTGTACAAGTTAATTCTGCTCCCACAACAGGGCACAGTTAGCATGAGATGCCATAACACAGAGGCACAGGCTACAGTTTGAGTCCATTCAGACAATGATGAAATGTGTCTGCTGGGCATGTGTCAGGCATTGCTTCTTACTGTGCACACCACTGATCTAGCTAACAAAATGCATTTGTTTAGAGCTTATGTGCCTCTTGTTTTGGTCTGCCACACACAGAAAGGTAAGAGGTACATTCATTCAGGAGGTATTCACAGCTTCAGAAGCACAAGCCAGAGATCATACAGGTCAGGTCCCAACACAGAGTGGTTTTCCCTTCTCCCAGGCACAGCTATGGGAGATAAGATTACACAGATGTGGAAGCAACCCCAAAATTAAATCAGATTCCTAGTTTGAAGCCCAAATCCTTGCTCCCTTAGAGCTCTGGCAGGTTCAGTTGTGGCAACACTCACAGCTGCTGTCACAGTGTTCTGCCCTGCCTTTTTCCAGAGGCTACCACACCTGTAGCATCAGACCAGGCTGCATGCATCATCTGCATCTCTGCTGACCCAGTTCATTGTCTAGTAGTTTGCACAAAGCAGAAAAACATTGGGCTAAGCCCAGAATTCTACAGGTGGGGAGGATTAATCCAAATACACTACTCTACATTCCCTGCAGAGAAGGCACTGCTCTTACTGTGTTCACGGGCAAGCTCACAACGGTGCCAAAGGTGCCATTCACACTTTCAGGAGAGGGGAAGCTTTGTCACCACACTGTAAACCTCAGCTAGGTGGATAGAACATAACTTCATTCTTTAGTTGTGTCTTGCCAGTTGTTCTCACCCAGAAGAGAATAGACATGCTGGTGCATCAGTTTGACAGGCCCCTTTCCCAACAAACCTTCTCAGGACAACTTTGTAATGTCAGCAAGCACAGAGTCAATGCTAGGCAACTGCCCATACTCTGTAGCTATTTCAGGGAAAGACTGCCCCACATGTCCCTCCAGTCTGAGAAATCCCCATGGTATTTCCTGCTCCACTGAACATGCCAGAAGATGACACATTTTTGGGATACAGTGGCCACAGTGAGGTGTCTAGTATGAAATCTTGGATAAAAGATTCCCTGTTGGCTTCAAGAGGGTCAGCATTTCACCTCTGTTGTTGTTACAATAAACTCTAGGATGTTATCAATGAATCAGAGTTGAATCAAGTAAAAATCTAAGGAAGTCGAGAGAATTTTAGCCAAGTACTTCACAACTTTATTTCTGGAGCTGAATGCCCTCTGTCAACAGATTAATAGAGTTGAGTCTGAGCATTTAAGAAGGAGCTAAGTGTTCATTTTTACATTGCAGTTTATCAGATCCTCTCCTATAACGCTGTAAAAATTTTACTGAAGCCAAAAATATGAGCTAATATAACTGTGAAAAACGTAGCAGAGAAACTTAGGTGGATAACTGAAAACAGAGAGAAGGTATAGCAATCTTCTGTACCCAGGAGCAAGTCCCAATTCCCTGCAATAGGCACTTGCCCTAGCTTCATCCTACATCTATAATGGGTAAGATAAAACACAGAGTGAGGCTGGGGGCTTGATGTGAATCCAACAGAACAGATCTCCATTCCCATCCAGCCATGTATCAGACTAAATGTTCAGTAACCAGGACCTCAAGGCATGCATCAAAAGAAAGGGCTAAACGAGACCCTAGTGATCAATACAACACACTTGTAAAAAAAAAAGTAATCTAAAAGAAATCAAACAAGTATTCTCAGCAGCAGGTCCATGGTGAGAATCTCTCAGCCTGAGAGACAGGTGGTCTAAAAGTAAAGTAAATAGAGAGTATGCTGCCTCCTCTGTATAACCACAGGAGACAACACCGAGACAGTCTATAAATGGGAAGACATTTCTCATCAGTGCCACTCTTCCTCCCAGGAAGAAGTGACAAAAACAAAGGAAGATCTCAAATGACCACAAATCGCTTTAGAAACCTGGGCAGGAATCCCAAGATAAAAGCAGCACAGGTTAACATCTCCAACTGAGAAAAGAGAACTGTAATTGGCAAGTCTATGCAGAGACATGAAAAGAACCTGCTACACAAATGGCTGATTCCTATCCCTTTTAATTTCACAGTGATTTTTTACAATAACTACTCTTTGATCTTTCCAGCTACATTTTAAAAGGCAATTGTCTGGGAAGGAAAAGGTGGGAAGGCAACGGTAGCAAAATGCCCCAAGCAGATTCCAGTGCTATTTAAGTGTCAAGCATCCACCTGAAAGTGTAAAGTAGTCGGAGACTACAAAATATAGCTCCTCAATATGTCTACCAGCACCTGCTTCTAGACCATTCATGTAAGCCTAATTGTTTTTTAATTAACCATGAAAATACTCTTACAATGTAATGTTCAAATGGGGGCCCTCTTCATAAGGTAAAGCAGGTGCTGCTGCTGCAGACAAAAAAACCCACACATTTCTCAACTATTTTTCCAGCGCTCTCTTGAAATGTTAGTTGGGCCTGAGTCGACAAGTCAGTGTCTCAGAATGCCTGGTTTGTTTTGACCAGCAAACCCAGACCAGTATGCTCAGTGGTTAATAAAGTTCTACATTTAGATTAGGACCTAGGAGATTTCAGAGCTGCCTGAGACTGTAGATTTCTTGACAGTGCAGAAGAGGTTACTGACAAAGCAGAAGGTTCTTAAAGGGGTCTGGAGAAAATCAATCATTAAGGACTTTTTTTTTTTCCTGTGCACAGGAGGAAATAAGAAGGAATTTCAGGGAGATCTTCAGGAGAGTCAAAGTATTAGAATCTGAAGATGACATTTTGAGAAATATTCCCTAGGCTTTATAAAACACTGTTCAGACCACATGGGATTTTTTTTTACTGTCAAAACACATTTCCCAATTCAGGTCCGACTTTGTTTGCTTTTTCTTCTTTTTCCATCTGAAGCAAAGTTAATAGCCATTCACTGAAGTTTCAGGAGAAGAAGCAATCAATCAGTATTCATTTCAACCTCCAAAACGTAAGTATGAAACTAGTTGTGCCCTTTACAAGTTTCATATCCACAGATGTAAAAATAAGACATATTTAGGGATATGGATAACCATTTGCTTTAATTAATGTCTTCTGCTAGACAAAGAAACAGCACCCTCTGGTCATCTAGAGAATTATTTTTACACGTCAATGCCTCTTCCTAAACAGAGCAAAGTCAGACTGAACTTACGTCCCCTGAGCCCTGTGACTGCCTACATAGCTCTGACACACTTCAAGCAGGGTCATTTCTATAAAGCTTTTTCCTGTCCTGAACTGGTACACCAGGAGAGCGCAGCACTGCCCACTTCAGTACAAGCTTGCACTAGACTGCATATACAGACAGGAAAAACTCATTTGTATGGCTTTTCTTTAAACTTGTGAGCTCCAATTTGGATCTCTGTTAACACAGCCCCTTGAAGTCAACAGGGTTATTCTGGTGTAGATCCTGCTCTGGTCAGACAGTGCAGTATAGACATCCTCCTGTTAAACTCTGCTTTTAGGGAACTTTTCAGTGCTTATAAAAAAAAGAAAAAAGGGTAGACAGACTGGTTGGATTACAATTTTCTGATGATTTGTCTCCCCATGCTGAATAGTTTCAGTCTTACTAGGGTCCCCCTCACACACTCAGCCCATCATACTCATTATCCTACATACTAAGAAATTGAATGTACTACTTCTGTTAAAATCCTCTTCTTCCTATTTAAAAACAGACCTGCTCAAACAGCAATACCAACTTGTAAACAATCCTGCTAAATTGTTATCATTGCAGCACTAATTTCACAGCACATCACTGTTTTCTATGTCAACCAATGTTACCAGTGCCTTTTCCTCCCTTATTTCCTTTAGTTAAAGGATATAAGCAAGTCAGTAGCTTCAGCTGGCAAAGAAAACTCAGCAAAAAAATTCTCCCCTCATGCATCTTCAGGGCAA